CTTTCCACACCGGCGCTCCTTGTTAGAAAATGTCCACCTAGACAACATCTACAACTAGAGCGCGATTGCATGGTCATGTATTGCTGCTGAACCACTTCCACACCGGTAAATACACAGCGCACTCCACTAGAAGAAATCCACATTGACAGTGCGACCGTGCGCTAAAATTGCTGAAAACACTGGTGCTCCTTGTATCTCCTTGTTAAACCACATGTGGGGGAAGAAACCACGTCCACGTTGAGCGTGCGACTGTGCATGATTGTGTTGCTCACGTTGATTAGAAACTGCCGCGCCGGTGCTTTGTGCTTCAAAACGTTCACATTGGGAGTGGGACCGTGCGCTAGCTCTGTGACGAAGCTTCCACACCGGCGCTTTCTGTTAGAAAACGTTCAGATGGAGCATGCGACCCAGTGCTCACAGTTCTCCGACATTTCCACACCGGTGCTTTTTGCGAGAAACCGTCCACGTTGAGAGTGCGACTTCGCACGCGTGCTGCCGAGCGACTTGAAAATTGGTGCTTTTGCTGGACAGCGTCTGAAGTGAGAGTGAGTGCGACCGGCGCATGCGCTGCGACGAAACTTCCACGCAGGTACATGATGCTAGAAACCTGCATTTAGAAAGTGCGACTGCGTGCACATGCTGCTAAGTCAATTTCACTGCGGTGGTTTGCTGGAAATGCGACCGTGCGCTCGCGTTGCTCAGGAACTTGCAGATGCTGCTGGTACGAAATGTTGACATTGAGCATTCGACCGTGCTGGCACGCAGCAACGCGGTTTCCACACTGGGGCGCTGGGCTTGAAAACGTCCACATGGAAAGTGCGAGGTCGCCGGTGTCCTCTGCAGCAAAGCGTCCATGTTGAAAGTGCGACGGCGCATGTGGGGGAAAAACCATGTCCACGTTGAGCGTGCGACTGTGCATGATTGTGCCGCCCCCCGGATCCCCGTGCCGCCCGGGTTACCCTGCGGCTGTAAGTTGGGTTCCATAGGCCTAGGCCCTTTCTCCGCGCACCTCGGCCACATGGCGCACCAAGATGCACCCGACTGGAGCCCGCTCACCGTTCCGTCCGTCAGCCCTGCAAGTGCTGCAGGGGTAGCCGGCGCAGCCCCCACCACGCCTCCATGGCTGCTGGGCCGGGATGCCCCCCAGGCGGCGCTGCCCGACGCGCCACACTGCGCCGTGTGCCAAACTGCGGTCTTGCCGCATGGCGAGGGCGATGAATCTCGCTTCCCGTGGCCCCGCTGCGGTCACCTGCGTGGCTCATATGGCCGTGAACCTACCGGAGCTCCGTTGCCCTACGTGCAGGGCCGTCTGGCCCCCCGAAGCCGCGGAGCTCTGCAAACTGCCTGCCACTCAGAGCACGTCTCCCTCCCGCCCCCCGCTGTCGAGCACAACACCGTTTCTGCACAGCATCAGGCCACTCACGCACCCCCGGCCCCCCGCCACATCTTGCCTTTATGTTGCCCTCGGATTTTCCTGGCGCGCCCAAGCCAGGCCACAGACGACGCCGCTTGGGAAGTGGACTGCTCGAGCTTCGGCAGGCTGGTCCGGTCCCGCCCACCACGCTTGTCCATGCGTTGCAAGCAACCCAACAGGTCGCGGTCGCTGATGGCCGCTCCTTGCGACCAGGCGAGGCGCACCTCTTGCAAAGTTTGCACCGTGAAACCTTGTCGCTGCCGACCGCCACTTTCGTGCATCTGGTGTGGGCCTGTCAGCGGCTCACGCTGCCGGGTGGCTACATCCCGGCATCGGCGCAAGAGGCCATCCTGCAGTCTTCCCTGGGCCACCAGCAGGCGTCCAACCTCGTCCAAAGCCTCGACCACCTGCGCTTGCACACGGCCGATTCTGCGGCTCCCCGCCCACCTGCAACCGATGCCTCCCCCGCCGAGTCCGGCAGCCCGAGCTCCAGCAGCTCCAGCTCCAGCAGCTCAAGCAGCGAGCCTGCCGCGTTTGCAGCCGCGAGCCCGGCACCTTCCCCGGCCTGCGGACGCGCCGCCGGTTCACGGCCCTTCCGCACGGCACCCTTTCGGACCGAGGGGCCGGCAGCTCCGAGAAGCCTTCACCGGCTTGGATGCTTACGATGCCTGCGCCGTGCTGCGCCAGCCTTGCCACACTTTCCGGATGCCGCCAGCTTTTGTCAAGGGGCCTCTCCGACAAGCCATGCATTTCTCCGTCACCCACATCCTGCAGGCGCAAGCTGCGTCGCGTGAGGCCGAACGCGCATGGAAGCTGTGGCTCTTCCTGCCGCGCATGCTGCTCCACCGCCCTGCCGGAGCACCCCGGCTCCCCAAGTCAGAACTCCGGGAGCGTTTTGACCGCTTCGTCCGTGGTGATTGGGCAGGGATCCTGCAGGAGTCTTCATCGTCTGCCACGTTTGCCGCTGAAACCCAGCGCGCCCCTCGCTCGGAGAGCGCAGCTCGCGCCGACCGGGCCGTGCACCTTGCACACCTCGGCGAGTTGTCGGCCGCCCGTCAAGCGCTGATCACTGCCCCGCTCGCGCCAGGCGATGCAACTACCCTCGAGGCTTTGCGTGACCCGGCTCGCCGGCCATCCGAGCACCCCTTGACCCCGACATCTTGCAGTGGTCACCCGAAAGGCCCCTCACACTGCCCCCGGCCACCGTCATCTCCAACTTGCGGCGTTCCCGCCGAGGTGCCGCCCCCGGGCCTTCGGGCTACACCGCCGACATCATGCGTCCTTTGCTCGACGACACTGCCGGCGTCGAAGCCCTCCATGGTGTCGCCGAACTCCTTGCTCGTGCCGAGCTGCCAGCGTCTGCTGCCTCAGCACTCGGTCTGGGGCGCCTTGTCGCGTTGAGCAAGCCTGCCGGCGGCGTCCGCGGCATTGTTGTTGGTGACTTCCTGTGGAGGTTGGTCGCCCGCTCCTTGGCACAGCAGTTTGCCCCCGCATTCGAGGCTGCCACCAACCCCCACCAGTTTGCCCTTTCCACCCGTGCCGGTTCGGAAGCACTCGTGCACTCCTTGCAGGCCGCTTGCGACGGCGACGCAGCCAAAAGCAGAGTGCCGTGCGAATTCCGGATAACATCCCAGCAAGGTGCACCTTAGAGTACATCGTAAATACAGAGTAGATTACGCAGGAGAGTATGTAGCATAGTGTTAAGAGGACCTTTGCACGAAAACCAGGGAGTTTTCCAGCAAGAGCCCGCGAGCTCGACGCAGGCCGAAAACTTTGCCGAAGCGAAGAAGCTGAAAGCCGAGCAACAGGACACGTCTCGCAAAGACTACAGTCGATGATGCCTTGGAGTACAGGCAAAAGTCCAGACTAGAGTCTATTAAATGTACGCATCGTGCATTCGTCGTAGTGAATCCTCCAGTCTATTTTGTGGTATATGGCTAGATGCAACAACACCAGTTCAGTGAGTTCTGAGAGTTGGTGGTGGGGGGGGGGGCGGCGGGGACTCAGGGCTCTGACGCCTTCGTGAGAGTCCCTCTGATGGGCAACCCTCGTGAAAACGGGGCCTGTGTGGGAGCGCTCACTGTTGAGAATGACCGAATGATGTGCCGATTTCTATTGTACAGTTTTGTTTTTGGCATCTATCTTCACTCATACATTATGTTCTGGCATCTTGCACATTATGTTATAGCATTTGGGGTTGCGTTTTAAAGTAGCAAACTGCACTAATCTGTACTGTACCATGTTCTACTATCTCTACTTCATTCTCCGATATATTCTATTAACTATACTACATGCTATACTATACCACTACATACTGATTATACTGTATGATACTCTCAGTTTTGATATTGATGGCTTGGGAGGGGAATCTTTTGGACTCACCTTTTCCAAACAGGCAGTATCCAACAAGGACAGTTCCCGGAATACTGAAGAGTAAGTGTCGCAAGTACTTAAGAGACGGATGCAGTCATCGCCAGCACTGCCAGGACTTAGAGCAACAGCTGAAGAAACTGGAGCTGTGAGTCTTCGCTGTCCGCTTTTCAGGGCCCATCTTCAAGTTTGGATTTGTTTAGTTTTGTTGTCCAAAGCTCCCCGAGCTCTTGGACCAGTGCCAGCAAAGCCGGCAATTTCGGGAAGGCCCGAGCAAAAAACAGACCCTGGCTTGCAGGGGACAGAAAGGATCCGCAGTCTCAGTCTCAGTCCACTTTGCCGAGTACAAATATGTCTTCAAGTATATGCCCCGCATTCTAATACACCGGTCTCTCAAATTCTTGTCGTGTGCGGCAGTACAGCGGTTCAGCCGAAGGATGAGCAGGCTTATTGGCTGGTCTACCCTGAGATGAATGCTCAAGATAACACATGCTAGAGTATCGGATGCAGCGCAGTAGCATAGTATCCTACAGAATAGTGTGCTGCCGGACCAACCCACAGCTGACTTCAAAGAGGCGCCTTAAGAGCAAAGAGGTCAAAGGTACACCAAGCCACTGTGAAGCAGCTCGGACTGCACCCTCGGAGCTCTACCTCAGTGCGGCCATGAGGATGTCAGCATCAAGCCCCCCGGAAGGGCGCAGCATGGCTGCACGCATCTGTTCTTGCGGTATTGCCCACGATCTCGCGACATGACACCTGTATACTTCTCCTTGTCAGGTGGGGCCTGAACTCCTTCGGCTCTCGGCGGCACCAACTCCCGGGGCGTCCGGGCCCAGCAGACTGCAAACTCTTTTCGTAAACCTCTGCACCCAGGGCCAAGCTCTTTGCCGAGGCCTGGCTTCTTCGCTTCGAGACATGTGACCCGAGCCGTTTCACAGCCAAACTCGGTACAAGCCCCGTACGCGAGAGGTTCCTGCGAGGCCGCGGTTCCTTTTGCAATACGGGTTTTAAGTCCTGCTCTGTCGGTGATTTGTTTCCCAGATTTGCGACTGGTGCTGCGATGC